TATACTAAAAAGCAAGAACAGGAGATTTGCATTGATTCAGCATCTAGTTCAACTTTAGTAGTGGGGCAAATTAACTATAATAACTAAAAGGAAGGAAAGTGAGATGGACACCAGATCTCTGGCAAAAATAAATCCCCTTTCCAGACCCTAAGAAAGAAAGAAAGAAAGAAAGAAAGAAAGAAAGAAAGAAAGAAAGAAAGAAAGAAAGAAAGAAAGAAAGAAAGAAAGAAAAGTCCTGGGTTCTCCCACCAAGCTTTTACTGCCACCTGGTGAGAGCTTTTGATGGGTATTAAAAGGAAGGAGCAGGAAAGAGTTTTTAAAAATGGCAGCATCCGGTTGGAAAAGCACAAGGCCTTCTTTGTCCTCAAATCCAATCTCTTGGGGTTTTGTTTTTTTCAGTTGGGGTCCATTCTTCCTCACCCCCCTCGACATACCCACCCACTCTTCACCTGAGAAAGTAAGGAATAGGACACTGTCTCTTTTATATTCAGCATAACCATTTTTTGCTCATCTGGGAAACCCTTTCCACCCCTCCTTTTCAACAAGCCAAAAACAGAGACTCACTAGTCGGCAACTGAAAGCCTTTGGGTGACATTCAGGCCGTCAAGATTGGCCCCTTTCCTTTTTCTTATTTGGACCTTTTCGAAGCCCGGCAGTCAATCGAGAGGCGCCAAGCCTCTGCCCCATTTGTGCAGGGAAACAAATGAGGAGGCCTCTTCGGGACCCTGTTCTTTCCAAAGGGTCCCCCGCATGACCAGGGCAAAAGCCCCCCCTCTTCCTGGTGCCCGGTCAGCCTTAATGCGAGTCGGCCTTGAGGTGCCACATAGGCAATAGACCGGTCAACGAGGGTTTTGAGAGCTAGTCTGGTCAGCATAACTAGGTGGAACTGTATGTGTGGCAGGTTTTTGTTTGTTTGTTTGTTTTTAACAGATGCTTCTTTTAAGGTGGAGGAGCAAAAAGCGAACATACAAGGACTCAAACGGGGGTTATCTTTCGTCCCTCCGAAGAGCTTCAGGCTATCAAGTAAAACCACCTTATTTTGTGCGAGGTGCTCAGTGGGGAAAAGGCTGCCTCTGGCGATGGGCTCCTTTCTCAGAGGAAATACGGGGCGCTTAGGGGGTCCCGCAGCCCTAACATCTAAAAGCCAAAGAGAAAAGAGGTCCCTTGGGCTTCTTGTGCCAGTGAAAGCTCGCTGCGTTTGGCCCTCCGGGTGGGCAGAGCGAGGTCGCCCCCTCGGGAAGCCTCCCTGGGGGTGCCCCAGAAAGGTGGCTAGTTGTTTGAGACGATGGGCTTCCTGGGGAGGAATGCCTCAGGGGGTCTCCTCCCAGGTGGACCCAAAGGATTTGGGTCTGGCTTTTTTTGGGGGGGGTCCAAGGCCCCTCAGTTCCTTGGGAGGTCAGGGGCACCTTGGGCTCTTCTGCCTCCAGCAGCAAAACATCTCAGGCAAGCCACAGTCCTACACCCTCTGTATTTTAATCTTATTTAAATTACAAAGGAAAAATAATCCTCAGGCCAGCCCTGGTGTAGGTTCGCACATAGGGGAATAAAAACCCACTCACCCCCTGCCTTACATACATACATAAGCCAGATATGGGTGCGCTGGAGAGCTCTGTGGTTTGGTGGGGAGTTCGATTCCCCCCACGGTGCCTCCTTGACAGCGGCTGGACTCGTTTGACCCCTGGGGACCCTTCCAGCCCTGCAGGTCTCAGATGATGACGATTGGACAGCTACAGACAAATGCACACCCACACACCCACACCTATTATATAAAACACCACCTATGGTGTTGGTGGCTGTGTTTAAAGACTAGTCCGTTGCCTCTGCCAAGATGCCTGACCTGAATGGTTTCTTGGGGAGGGGGGGGTAGGCAATGGTGCGAGGATGAGGACCCACACTTTCAGGAGCCACAACACCCATCGCCCACAAGCGAGTGATGGAGGCTCTAGGACGACATGTCTAGAAGGTTGCTAGAGAAGGAGGGAACAGAGTTTGAAAATTTTTGCCCAGCAACTCAGATCGCCCTGCTGCATTTCTTGTCCTGATGGCGGGGGATGATGGGACCTCTTGCCTAACCCATCCGCAGGATGCTGGAGTTGAAAACTCTCACATGGGGGGGGGAGAGGGGAGTCTGCGGAATCTGACTCTTCAGCCAGAAACTGTAATGCTTATTTTGTCCTCCAGCGGTCGTCTTTGGAAAGTTCTATCCGAAAAAGGGGTTTGTTTCCTTCTTCTGGATAAGCCTGCCTCCAGGTAGCCGGCATTTCACCCTGGGAACGTTTCTCATTAGCAGAAATCTAACTTCTGGATTAGGAGAGTGAAGATGTACCGTGAAATGTATTCATTCCTTTGCCGTGTTTCCTGTGACACTAAAACCACCCAGATGTTGTTCACCTGCAACTTGGCAACATCTGGAGGGCTATAATTTGCCCACCTGGGTCTCACAGGAAAAAAAAGCCATAGGATGGCCAGACTGGCAATGACAGGACTGAGTTTTTGCATCTTTGTTTGTTCCCCCTTGTTAAGAAATAAAAATGCCGCCAAGAAGATGCCTCGGTTTCAGTGCCTCGGGTTGCAAATATTTATTTTCATGTGTTTTTTGGGGGTAGACAAAGAATGAATGAGTTAGGGTGCTGAAAGCCAGATGAGCAGCAGAAGGGCCCGTTTTGATCATTTCACCCCAAAAGATCTTTCAGATGGTTGGCGACCCAAAAAAAGAGAAAGGACTTTGCCCGTGTGGCACCCTCCAAATGTGGTTTCCTGCGACTCCCGCCCTTGGCCACTCAGTAGAGAGGGAGATGATTGGGGGGGTGGGTTGATGCTTGAACATGCCTGCAATGCTGTCTCTGACAAGACTCTTTTTGTGGGCCCGGGGATTCTCCCGACAGCTCCAAGGCCAGGAAGAAAAAAGGAGCTGTGGTTTAGTGATGTAGTGGAGAGAGTGTCGGATTAGGACTCGGGAGGTCTGGGTTCGAATTCCTGCTCAGCCACAAAAACTCACTGGGGGTTTGGAACTGGTAAAACCCCTCCTTCAACCTCTCACTTACCTTAAGGGTCACTGAGTCGGTTCTGACCGGACAACACATAACCACTACAATAAGCAAACCAAGGAAAGTTTTTTCGATCTTCTACCAAAAAATAAATAAATACGCGTAGATTTAGACTCACATATATTTTACGAAACACAGAAACTTTAAAAAGGCACCAAAGCGACTCAGTACAGTACAGCCCGATTACATTAATATTACATTCCTTATATAGAATAGAACAATTATCATAATATTAATCCTCCTTTCTTGTGTTTTTTTTTTTAACTCCAAATTTACATACAGAGTCTAGGCTTCTACAAAACAGAACGAAAAACAAAGACATCCACTGGCTGGGTGGAGAAGCGACAAGGTACCTCTGACATGGTGTGGGGGGTGTCTTCAGAGTCAAGGACTCTGGTAAGAGGGTCTCCCCACCCATCCACCCACCCTATTGTTTAAAATAAGAGGCACAAATAGAGAGAACCAGGAGTTACCGTAGACAGAAGACAATGCATGGACAACAGACCCAGAGTCGACACAGAAATATTGTCAAACTATTTATAAAAACAAAAGCTAATGCGGATTTAGCACTCTTTCGTTATTATTACCGCCCGCCCACCCTTTTCATGGTTGCTTCGCAGCCTAATGCTTTGGTAGGTTCTACAAGTAAACACACACAACACTCAGACATAAACACACACGCACACACACATATATATATAAAAGCAGAGAAATGTGTCATTTTGTAAAAAAAAAAAATTCCTTTTACAAGCCCAGGTCTTGCTCTTATAAAAACAAAATAAAACGAAAAACCTCATGTCCTAAAGCTACATTTTATACAACTCAGACAAAATGACTTGTGGAAAAAAAACCTGGATATTCCAAAGGACATACAAAACCTCATAGAATATTTAACGAACTTTTAAGTTAGAAGGTCAACTGACGTGGAGAGGGGGACTGCGCTGAGGATCACAGGGGCCCCCCGACTTCTCCTCCCGCTGCTTTTCCCTTGCTCACGTTTCTAAAGGGAAAGCACCGACGAGGACGATGTTGAGAGTTTGACCAGGGGCTGTGATGAGACACCATAGCACCTCTTCGAACCTTAAATATTTTAGTCATATATAAAATAACACACTTCTTTAAAAAATAAAAGAGCACCAGATATTTCACAGTGAGAGGTAGAAACAAATTAAACAAACCAATCCCTCTCTCTCTCTCTTTCTTTTTTTCTCTTATTTAGCACCTATCATTTCTTTCCTGTTTTGGAGTGTTCTCTCCTCATATACACATGAAAAGGGATTTTTACCCCTGCTCAAGGGAAGAAGGATCTCGCTTGGTTTTATTTTTGCCTTAAATAATATATATATATTTATATTTATATCTATACCTTTTTTTTCTTTTCCCTCCCTCCCTCTCTCTCTCTCTTTCTAATATTGCACATCAATATGCTTCCTGTTCCAGAACAACAAGCAGATGAACAGAGTTTGCAAACGTGTCTCTCCGAGTCTCTTCTGTTTCTCGTTCCACAAAGACCTGCCCTGTTAAGTGTCACACAAGTCTCTGGAAAGTCACACTTGGTAACATGAGGACCAAGCAAGAAGATCCGAGGTTCCCTGCGTGATCCGTGGGTTCTTTGGCTGAAAGAAGGAAAATCTTTGGGTGTGGAATTTGGCCTTCACTTCAGCTTCCGACGATCCATTGGTAAAGTCATGTATCCACAAAAGCCACCCCTCTCTCGCTCTCTTTTCCACGCACTGGAGAACAAGAGTCTGAGAGACCATGGATTCCCGGTGGTTTTTCATGGCCCAAAGGCTCACGGCCCGGCTTTCTAATGCAACGAGGTTTGGGTGGCAAGTGAGCCCTTTCTTCAAAGATGCAGCATCTCCAGAAAGAAGAAGAAGAAAGAAGAAGGGGATAGGAGCAGAGAAAAAGGAGAAAGAGGAGGAGGAGGAGAAGGAGGAGAAGAAGCCAAATCTCGAAGGACTACCGAGGCCACTGTTTAAAGAAAACACACAGGGCCAACCTCGAGGCGATACTGCCTCCCCAGTGCGGGAGGTGGAAGGTTGTAGACATTGACAATCGGCAGCTGGTGTAGGTCCTGCGTCCGGAACATAAAGACAGCCCGGCGCCACTGCCCATCTTGAATCTGAAAGCAGAAGATGCGGGAAGAAAGCAAGCGAGAAGACAAGATAAATCTTCCCAAAGCTGCTGGGATCCCATTTTGCATGGCACTTCTCATATTTCCACCCCATCTGGAGGGCCACATATTTCCCACTCCCACTTTAAGGCCCTTTTTTTCCTGACACTTCTGTGGGTTGGAATCAAGTCTAGGACAGCTGCTCCTCTGGTTTCTTCCTCCACTTTTTGTAGGAGAAAATTATCAGCCACACAAGCCAGGAATTTCTTGGAAGGGCCACAATTGACAGAATTTGCCTCCCAACAGATACCAGGAGAGTTGAAATCTCTCATTGCTACGTACTACATCACGTCTCTTTGAAATCTTGCAATTTGTTTTTCAAAGGTTTCATCCGCATCTTCTCTTTGTCTGGGTGGGGATGTGAGAATGTTTGGGTTTTTTGTGACCATGAAATTAAAGGAAGTTCTGTTCTCTTGCAAAGCATTTCAGCATCCGGGCTCTTGCTTGTGGGGAAAGTGGATCAGATGAGTGGGGCTGGGGGGGAGATGTATATTTAGCCCACCCACTAGCAGCTGTAAGTAGCTCTTTGGTAGATGGGGTCACAGGCCCCTGCACTCCCTCCAACAGGTTTAACAGGAGCAGCGATGTAGTTCTAGCTTTGTTGTTATTAAAGCACAGGAAAAGAAGAATCGTGCAAATGAATCATGCAACTCCATGTACACGGAAATCCGTGAATCCACACAGTTTTGCTTTATGCCTCTGATGAAGGGGTTTTCAGCCTTGAAAGCTCAGAATTGCTTCCATCAATCTGTCAACCTTAGGCCGGCCAAACTATAGGTGACAGCTAGCCTGTCATTTCGATGCCAAAATTCGTTGTTGTTGCAGAGATGGGATTCAGGCCGACCTTGGTGGCTGAACAGTCAGATTTGCAAACAAGGCTGGCGCTTAGCTCCCAGAGTCCCAATTACAAAACAAGGCAAAGCTGATTTGGAAGTTGCAGGAGCTGTGAAAAATCCCTGCTATGAAAACTAAAAGTTCCCAGCAGTTAAGGAACTCCCTCTTCTAACACTGAACAGCAACGTATAAGTTCCTCAAAGAAATCTCACACAGCCCTCTCCCGTTTTAGACATGGACGCGGCCATATCTACAAAAACCCCTTCTTGATTTCACCAGAGAATCATGTAGTGCATGCAAACTGGCAATAGGTAGCGCTGTTGCTTTACAGCAAAATCCACTAACAAAGCTGTACCAATGAGGGGGAAAAAAAATCAGCACACAAAATTATATATATATAAAAACCAGCCTCATATGTGAACAGGAGGTGAGGTCAAGCCTGTCCCTGTCTGTGAGCTGCATACACCTTGGTCTGCCCCCTCTCCTTCCTTCCTTCCTTCCTTCTGCGCTTCTTCATACATTAAAGTGAATGAAATACTGTAATTGTTTCTGTACCTTACAATCATTCGCCACTACGTGGGGTTCGAGCAGCCCTCCCACTTCGAAGACTTGTCCGTTCCAAGCCCTGAAACGCACGGATGTCTCCGAGGCGCCTTCCTGCCATACAGAGCTGTTCAAGCAGTGGAGCGTGATGGTCTGGACCACCTCAGAGCTCAGGAGGTGAAGGAAATTCATTTGAACTTGTCCAATGTCAAAGTCCACCTGATTAATGGAAATCCACAGTCAAGAGTAGAACTCAAAGCCCAACTAGATAAGATACTAACAAGACACACTTAATGACCTTTCACCTTGAGCCTGAAACCAAGAGCCCAGCAGCCTACCTTTGAAGCGGTGATGGGACTAAGGCATGTCTGTCCTCCTTGGGTAAAATTGCAGGTGACTTGAATGCTGTCTGAAGAACAGCCGAGATTCGGGTCAATCCAGTAGGTGCCTGAAGGTAAGAAGGCATTTGGTACATGACACAAGGAGAGGGTGAGAGGTACTCGGTTCATCAATGTTGGCTGCTTGCTTCATGCATTATCACTCCATATTTTCTTGATTTCCTCAAGACCATATTTTGCATGTGAACGGGTATGAAGTGGTTGGGCATCATTCACAAGAATGGTGCTGGTCCAAAGGACACAGGAAATCACCCCTATGCTCCACTTCTTGGTCCTACAATGTTATTTGTCTCTTGTTCCCGACCTGAAGCATGGCCGATCTGTGGATAAGGCCCTGCGCTCCCGGAGACCCGGGGCTCAGCAGTGCAAATGCTAAACGAGGCCAACAAGCCGCCAACCGCACGGAGGACGAGGAGGCACCTACCGTCCCGCATCTTCTGTTCACAGTTCATGAGATCTCTACAGATGCGGGCAGGGTTCTCCTTCGTTCCGAGGGGTCTCTTGATGCTCTGGATGAGGGTGCTGAGGTAGTGCAGAGTCTTGAAGATCTCCCCTCCCTGGTCCAGCACTGGAAGGTCGGCGTTTGGATAGCTCTGTCCGGAAGAACCAGCAGAGAGGAAGAAGAGAGACAGCGAGAGCAAGTCATTGTAATCTGTTGACTGGGGGATCTTTGAAGGAGTCTAAAGTGTCGTAAAATAATAACCTAATGTGGTTACTAAAAGTGACAGACTAGGACTCCGGAGACCAGGGTTCGAATCCCTGCTTAGCCTTGGGAACTAACTGGGGACCATGGAACTGGTGAAACCACTCCTCAAGTATCTCACTTACCTTGAAAGCCCAATTAGGGTCGCTGTAAGTCCGTTCTGCTGTAAGTCAGCACAGAACACACACACACCCCTTCTTAATGGTGCTAAACAAGACATGCACCTTTTTTAAAAACATGGTGTTGCCAAGTAGATGGGTGTCTTTGCTGGTATTTCTAGTTTCTGCTGTAAGTCAGCACAGAACACACACCCACACACCCTCTTAATGGTGCTAAACAAGACGTGCACCTTTTTTAAAAACATGGTGTTGTCAAGCAGATGTGTGTCTTTGCTGGTATTTCTAACGACTATGTTTTATTTCTGACTTGGGGTTATGGAATGACCATGTTTGGGGTTAAACAGGTTAGTCTTAAATTTATGACTTATCTCTATTGGCTTATGTTTCACTCTACCTCTGTTTTCCTCTTGTACAGTGGGGTCTTGACTTGAGAACTTAATCCGTATTGGAAGGGGGTTCTCAAGTCAAAAAGTTCTCAGGTCAAATCTGCATTTCCCATAGGAATGCATTGAAAACCATTTGATCCGTATCTGCTCTTTTCCGTCCATAGAAACTAATGGGAAGCTGCTATTCCGCCTTCGACCACTAGAGGGGGAATATTTTGTTTCTTTTTTTCTTAGGTCAAGAAAGGTTCAGGGAAGGCAGGGAAAATACAGTCCAGGCAGTACAGTACCAGGCAGTCCGAAGACTGTCTCCCAATCCACTCTCTAAACGCTGGGAGGAGTGAGGAAGCAGACAGGCACCCTTTTCACTGGCCAACAGTTAACTGAAAGTTCAAATTTTGCACTTTCCCTGCCTCCCACGTGGTTTTTTTTCAGTTCTTAACTCAAATCTAAGTACTTAAGTCAAGTCAATATTTTCCTATGAGAGCGGTTCTTAAGTCAAAATGTTCTTAACTCAAGCCGTTCTTAAGTCAAGACCCCACTGTAAATCTTTGGGGGGGGGTTTCTCTCTCTCTCTCTCTCTCTCTCTCTCTCTCTCTCTGGGGATGATCATGAAGTCAGCCCAAACTGAAAGGGCTGATGAGTGACCTGCGACATACCTCAGGCCTGAACCCGGTGCTGGCACCCATCGCGGTTTGGAAAGCGGCACCAAAGCCGTCTTGCTGCTGTTTGGGGAAGAAACAAGGACACATGGAAGAGAGTCGAAGGAGGGAAAAGATGACCTAGAGTTAGTGCCACTGAGGACCTTTGGAGATTAGGATTAAGGAAGAAACTAGAGGCGATATTTGCCACGTTGTTTTGCATTTTAGAACTTTTTCGTGCAGTTCATCTGCATTTTGTTTTGACACTGGAAGGTTGCTTGGCAGGCCAGATCTCCAGAAAGAGGGACCTTCCATTGAGAATGATGAATGGGATCTCCTTGATTGAGGCCAACCAATAAAGGAACAGGAGAACCTGACTAACAGAAAAGAGAAATATTTCTCTCCCTGTTTCTTCCTCTTTGTAAGTGGCCTGCTAGATGGCGAAACAAAAGAGTTACGACAGCAAGGAAAAGCGCTACATGTCCCAAGGAAAATTGGTACAGTTTTGTTTGCTTGGAAAAAAAGGGGGGGGGAAATATTTCCTGGAACAAATAAACCCACGCGGGAGTGCTATGGGGAAATATTGCAGTGTGTGGCGAGGTTTCCTTGTCAGAAATAAGCCTGGAGGATTCCTGCTTCCTAACACTAGGAAGAGGCAACGCACCCAAACACAGTGGTTCCCCCTCCTTATGGGCCTACCCACCCCCCAAAAAAATACAAAATGATAAGCAAAATCAAATTCCAGAGAACTTACCAGTGTCACTGGGATGCCTGGTGGGCCCTATAAATTCAATAAAGAATGACAAGGCATCAGAGGCGTCAAAGAGATCCCCAGGGATATAGCTCTGATTCCTTGAACAGAAGAAGCTTCATTTCCACCTCAAGCGGGGTCTGGCTCGGCTTATTTTTCTCTGCTTTCCTCTTGCACCAAAAAAAAGTGCAACCTCTCCCCCAACCCTCTCCCTCCTCAGGGGCTTCCTGTGGGATTTCTCCCTTCGTGTCTCTGCCGGGCTCCTCTCCAGCTCCTCTCCGTTTCAGGCAGATCCTTAAATCGCCTGCTTGTTTGTTTCTGGGCTCGTGGGGAGGGTAGAAGGCGAGGCCGGACTAGAGGCAGGGAGAGGGGTATTAGCGGCTGCGCTTTCTGCCTCAGTTTTCCAAGTTCCTACTCCTCTTGAGGCTCTTCTCACTTCAGACCTAGATCCTCTCTCCCTCCTCCTCCTCATTGGATCCTCTAGCTTTTATCTGCCGGCCAATTTTCTGGGGAGGGCAGCTCACAGGATCTCCCCTTCTCTTGCCACCCATTTTATAAAACAAAACACCTGGAAGGCAGTCTGTACAGTGTCCTTAATACGTACCGGAGGCCCTGGGGGTCCACGAGGCCCAGGGGGACCCTGGAAAGACAAGATTGGCAGGGGTTAGCAAAGAAGATCACCCACTGGATAAGCCACGATTCGAAGGCAGCGTTCATTAACTGCTGAAAAGCATCTGACTCTCCCATCTCCTGAGGTCTGCAAAACTTTGGGACGTGTTTTGTGATTTGGGGAGCTAAAGACCGGCTCTCTTGAACTCAAGCTTCTCTGGAAGGCTCATGGGAATTCAGCAGCAAGGACAAATGACTTGTAAGGTTAACAGCCACGGCAGGTGGGGTCTCAGGCCAGCCCACCTGGAGGACCAGAGGCTTCCCCCAGCCTATACGGTTTAAGGAGAACAGCAGAAGGGCAGTGGGCAAAACGAATGGGCAAAAGAGGCAAAGCGGCCCGCCGGGGCTCAAAGGGCAGCTGAAGGTCTGGACCACAGTGGCTCCCTTCTGAAACCAGAAGATACGAACCCATACCGATGGGCCCTGCGGGCATCAGCCAAGCAAAGGCGGTTTCTGGTTCACCTGGCCCAGCCCTGCCTCCTAACAAGACAGCCTCAGCACCGCTTCGTGTTTTCGTCCACCTTCATCTTATAGGTCATGGTGTTCTTCCTTTCCTTAGCTGGCTTAGGTCCCTGTCTGTGGAGCCACAGGTTGGGAGTTCGATTCCTCCCGGGAGAGGAGCCAGCCTGGGTGGCCTTGGGCCAGCTGCACAGCGGTCCCAGGGCACCCCCGGAAGGAGGGAAGGGGAAACCACCTTCTGAGCACTCTCTACCTGGAAAACCTTCGAAAGGGTCGCCATCAGTCAGAATTGACTTGATGACTGGTTACGGTTACTGTCCTCATTTCCCCGGAGAGGCGTTTTGTGCTTGGTTGGCATTTTAATCCACCTGACTCCATTCTGCTTTAGCCTGGCATCGACCCCTCTTTCTCACATCCTACATACACATAGAGAGGGAAAGGCCCCTTCCCCTTGCTCTGCTCAGCATGCTAGCCGTATACCACCTGTTTTACACACACACACACACACACACAGAAAGGCCCCTTCCCCCCTGCTCTGCTCAACACGCCAACCATCTACCACCTGTTTAGGGGAACATCTGGTCAGGAGCTGGAAAAGACTCACCTTCGGGCCTTCCAATCCCTGGATGAAGAAGAAGAAGATGATGATAATGATGATGATGATGAAGATGATGATGAAGAAGAGAAGAGAGAAAGGTGAAAACAGCTCGTTCATTTAAGGATGTCAAGAAACACTGATCAACGTGACAAATGATTGTTTTTAAAATCGGATTATTTGCAGGAGTTTGCCTTGTGACTTACTGTTTTAATTTTCTGGATTTGTTGTGTTTATTTGTTTGCAAGCCTCCAAAGATCTTAAGAGTTCCTGGTAAATGTCAACCTTTGCTGAGTTTTTGGCCTTTGCTCTTATACACACAGGCAAATGCAACACAGATGTCATGTGGGTGTTCATGTTTACCCACACTTCCCACTCTTTTGTGAGGGAGGACAAGTGGAGATACCACACATCAAGAGAAGAGCCCCTTCGGCCGTCCCATCCGGTGGACGCCAATGCAAAGCCGTCCAACGGCTCTACAAACAGCCGATAAACACCTCTTTTGGAAAACAGAAAGCCAGCTCACAAAGCAGCCGAGGGCTGGGACGGCATCTATGATATCTGTTTGATCCCTCTCCGGCTGGCCTGGTTCCTTTCTCCAGAATTGGAAAGTCTGTCATTTCAAGACGGGCTTGACATTTCCAGCTGCCGTTCAAAGCTCTCTAGTGCTCTAATTTTAAAGCCTTCCCCATAATTCAAACCCTAGGATTCTGTTGGATGGCACTTAAAGGGACCTTTGGGTAGTGTGGGCAGCATATAAATTAAATAAATAAAATAAATAAATAAAAGGGGGATCTAGCGGGTTTAAACTGCCTGGTGCAGACACGTTCTAAGACTGGGGGCGGGGGTGAGAGAAGTGCCCCCCTTATAATCTTTCCCACCCTGAATGGGAAGGAAAGCAGACTGGAAGTGGACCCTGGCACATTCATAATGTCCTGGTTTGGCATCAGAAGCAGCCCTTGCTCGCAGCAAGCAGGTAGAGCTCTCCCAGAATGCCAGGATGATGCTGATGATGATGTACCCCCTGGCCTGTTCACACTGTAGGTCTTTGATGTTCAGAACAGAACAGATTGGGGTGTGCTTTTGTAAGGGATAACTCACTGTTTCACCACGGCTGCCTTTTTCTCCTTTCGGGCCCTGTGGGGGAAAGAATGGACACATGCGTGGATTACACCTCAATCCAAAACATTTGCATGTGCAAAAAAGGAAAGCGGGCCAGAGAGGAGCGGGTGAATCAGCCCTAACCGAAAGAAACAAGCATTGCCAGTTTCAGAAGAACAACAGGCATCGGAAAGAAGGTGACCTCCCTCCCTCCGTGTCACAGTCCCAAATCAAAGCTGCCTAACTGGCTTTCTCCCTCCTCATTTATCCTCGGAACAGCTCAGGAACGGGGTCAACCCTGAAGGAATGACCGACGGGCCCAACGTCACCGACGGAGTTTTGCAGCCGAGACTCCGGACCCGCGCCCCTTGAGTCCGGGGTCCACGCGACGCCACGCCAGCTCCGCCCGTGGGCCAGCCTTCCCAACCCAAGTCTGAAGACACAAGAGGGACACTTACGGGACTTCCTGTTGGGCCCAAGATGCCCAGCGGGCCAATGACACCTTCCTTTCCCTATGGAGAACAGAGAAGTTAGCTGGTTTATTAAATGGATGAGACAGCCACTGCGTTCGATGGCCGAAGCCAGCAAAGGATTCCACCCCTCGCTCCGTGCGCACAGCAGGCATCTGGAAGGAGCCTGTTTTAGCCCCAGTTCACAGGTGGCTGAGGACTGGGCGCCTGGGGTGCGGGGAGCGGAAAGGCTGGCAGAACTGCACACCAAGGTGGCAAGGGCAGAGGGGCAATGTGCTCCTGAGGAGAGCCACTGAGCCAGACCATAAGGTGAGGCAGACAACATAAGCGTCTCATCTACTCACCATCAGGCCCGGGGGCCCCTTTGGGCCCTGGATTCCTTTAAATCCATTATCTCCAGGAGGTCCCTAGAGACAGAAAGACTGGTTGTGAATTCCAGAAAGCCCCAGACACATGGGCACACTGTTATGCTTACAACCTCATAATTTATTTTATAAATAAGGACATTGCCATGTTTTAATTGAAAAGCCAAAGCGGACGTGTTTGTTCATCATGCCCAGAACAGGTACCTTGGTGAGACAGCCTTATAATATTGACAGACTACTTTCCCACACAAGCATGATCTCAAAGCAGTTTACCTTTGAGATAGACAAAGCAATAGCGGCAGCATAAAAAAAAACCCCTGGTCCATTCCACAGCCCTGGGGCCATCACAGAGGAAAGCCCTGCTTCTGGCTAACGGCAACCTTGCATGGCAACAGAATGTAGCTGATAACTAAGGGCATCACCACTGGATCTTAAATCTGGGGGCGAACTGTACGCAAAGGAGAAAATCAGAAAAAGGAGCTATGTGGTTCATGACTAGAAACAAAAGCTTAGGGTAGGGTCATGCATTCCTGAGTTCAGAACAAAAAAAATATTCTAAACGACATTCAGGAATGAGATACCATTTTGGAGTGGTGGAAGAAGCAAAAAAAAAGCCATTTTCCAGAGATTCTGCCACCTCTCAGACAGACCTATCAAGATGGGCTCACCCAGGAGAGTCACTGGATGTGGGGCTCAAGGTGGAACTGGGTGTCTTTCAAGAAACACTATAAAATACCTGGGGAGAGGAACCATCCCAATAACACCAGAGACCAAGCAGAGGTTATTGGTTTCATTTGCACATTTAAGTGACTCGTCTCTCCTCCCAGGCGTTTCCCTCCATAAGACTATGCACGTGTGTGAGAAGAACGGCACAGGACAAATCCATTAATAGCATCCTGGGTTTCTACAGCATGCCTACGACAACTCTCACAGTCTACTCCTTTGGTTCCTAATCTTCGGGTCCCCAGATGTTCTTGGACTAAAACACCCAGAAGCCTTCACCACCAGCTGCGCTGGCCAGGATGCCTGGGAGTTGTAGTCCAAGAACACGTCAGTTAACCAAGGCTGGGAAGCGCTGTTCTATGATGTCTTCCAGTCACGAGCCACTTGGGTCTTTCCTGGAAGCTGCCATTACCCGCCCAGTTCCAAGAATATTAAAAACATCTCCAGTTTGCAGGAAAGGATCTGCCTAGCATGCAGGGCCTTTGAAAAGGACTGAGCGTGACTTTAGTCATGCATGGGTCTCTTCTCCTTGAGCAGCTCCCACACATCTGGGAGAAAGATCTGAACAAGCCATCCGACGGGCAGGAGCTGATGGCAGGGCTCTTTCGCACAGCGTTCAACACCTAGCCTCCCAGTAGCCTAGCCGTCGTTCCATGTCAGGATCGGTGGGGCTGGCCTCCAACCAGCTGGCCGGGCTGTGTCAACATCACTCCCCCAGCTGTGCAGCAGCTGCTTGCCGAAAAAGAAAAGGCCCTGCGCCACCGCTGCAGCTGCTGCCAAGGGCTCTCCTCGAAGAAGAACCGAAAGGGGCGGCTTCAGCAACAGGTTATTGATGCCCCCCCCCCGTGGCCTCACCTTCGGCCCAAAGAGGCCCGCGATCCCTGGAAATCCCGATTCACCAAAGTCGCCCTTTAAAAAAAGAAGAAGAAGAAGACCAGGTGAATGGAAATGTTCCGCTTAAACCGCTGAGCGCTGCAAAACCCGTCACGGCCCCCGAGCTGGAAGGGCGGCAACGACGACGGCGTCTACAAGCCAAGCTGTGTGGAAGCGGGAGGAAGTGACTTTTTTATATAAAAGAGTCAAAAACCAGCTGCTCTTACTTTGGCCCAACAGTGTCTTCTGAGCGAGCGGTGGAGAGAAAGGACCCAGCATTACTAATCTGGCACAGTCGGGTCGGGGACCAGAAAGGCTTTCAAGAACTCCCTAAGCGGCACGAGGGTCAGAGGGGCCGGGCAGAGAACTCTGTTCTGGGGGGGGGGCTTAGGGAGAGTTCATTGGGGGAAGCAGCAGGAAGGCCCCCCCCAGGTTGCATTGCCTCTGTTCGGGGGGGGGGCTTAGGGAGAGCTCATCGGGGGAAGCAGCAGGAAGGGACCCCCCAGGTTGCATTGGCTCACTAGGAACAACACTTGCAAAGGCACCCACATACTTGGACGCCACGTCTTCCTCGTCTCGGGTGGGGGAATCCTTGGGGCCCCCAGATATTAACAGACGGGCTGACTTGCTCAGTTTGCTGAGAGCGGTCCCAAGGTTCTTCCCCCCCCCCATTTCCGGTGCTGTTTTTGGGCTATAACTCCCAGAATCCACAGGCCGGCATGACGTTCTGGGTGTTATACTTGAAAAAGTAACTGCCCCGTGCTTTGGGGGCAGGCGCCTCAAACCGAGCACCTAAAAGCCGAGAGGGTGGGTCGGGGGACAATTTGCAAAAGCCTCCTGAAGTTCCAGCAAGCCGGTCCCCATTTGACAACTTCCACGCGCCGAGGACAGATCCAAGCCAGATCCGCTGAGGACCCTCCCACGCCCTCTGGATCCTGAGTCTAGCTTGCCCCCCATGGGGCGAGGGTGCTTTCGGGATGAGAGAGCACTGCCAGGAGGCGGCATTTGAAGGACAAGCTGTACAAATCATTCCAGGCCCAGAAACACACCCTGTGATCTGCATCGACACGCAGACTTTTTTTTTTTCACATCCCCTGACCTTTGCACAAGAAAACGGTGAAGCCTGCTGGAACATTTGGAGGGAAAACATGGGCCAGAATGACCCTCCATGAGTCACAGAAATCTCATCAATGGAAAAAAAATCCCCCTTTTTTTACGGCCTGTGCAGCCTTCGAGCTCAACTGTACTCCCCGGACTATTCCACAGGGCCTTGTTCCGCCTTGTTGTAAATGACTCAAAAGGTTGGGGTTTCCACCACCCGTCTTTTGGGGCCGGTCCCGCTGCAGCCTCGTAAGATCCTCTCTGGCGCTTGGGAAGCGTTTCCTTGCCATGTTCATGAGACTCGGTCTGGCAAGGCCGAGCCCGGTTTGGAAGCGACAGAGCTGCGAGCAGATTTCCAAGGAACTGGGGAAAAGAGGCATTAAAGCGGGAACACTATTTTTAAAAATGCATGTTTGTCTCTTTCTTGCAGCAAAAAAGAAAAAGGAGTCTTCCGTTTCCAATGGGGTGGCCGCTTGTTGCTTTCTTAATCAATGAAGGAAGGAAGGCAGGCAAGAAAGAAAAAAGGAAAGAGAGAAAGAGAAAGAGAGAAAGAAAGAGAGAGAGAGAGAGAGAGAAAGAAAGAAAGAAAGAAAGAAAGAAAGAAAGAAAGAAAGAAAGAAAGAAAGAAAGAAAGAAAGAAAGAACAGAATGAAAGGAAGGAAGGAAGGAAAGAAGGAAGGAAGAAAAGAAAGAAAGAAAGAACAGGAAGTAAGGAACTAAACTGTTGAAGTTAAAAGGGAGTAGAATGCAGAAATTACAAAGTGTTGCAATTATATAAAAACTTTAGACATAGGTAACAGGCCAGATGATAGATAGATAGATAGATAGATAGATAGATAGATAGATAGATAGATAGATAGATA